TACCGTAATACCGGATGTGTATTATCCATGATATTGGACATGGGTCACCTGTGATACCGGATGTGTGCTATCCATGATATTGGACATGGGTTATCTGTAATACCGGATGTGTGTTATCCATGATATTGGACATGGGTGACCTTGATAATGGATGTGTGCTATCCATGATCTTGGACGTGGGTTACCTGTGATATCGGATGTGTGTTATCCATGATATTGGACGTGGGTTACCTGTGATATCGGATGTGTGTTATCCATGATATTGGACGTGGGTTACCTGTGATACCGGATGTGTGTTATCCATGATATTGGCCGTGGGTTACCTGTGATACCGGATGTGTGTTATCCATGATATTGGACATGGGTTACCTGAATTCGGATGTGCGTTATCCATGACATTTGACATGGGTTACCTGTGATACCAGATGTGTGTTATCCATGATATTGGACATGGGTTACCTGATACCGGATGTGTATTATCCATGATATTGGACATGGGTCACCTGATATAGGATGTGTGTTATCCATGATATTGGACGTGGGTTACCTGATACAGGATGTGTGTTATCAATGATATTGGACATGGGTTACCTGATACCGGATGTATGCTATCCATGATATTGGACATGGGTTATCTGTAATACCGGATGTGTGTTATCCATGATATTGGACATAGGTTATCTGTGATACCGGATGTGTGTTATCCATGATATTGAACATTGGTTATCTGTAATACCGGATGTGTGTTATCCATGATATTGGACATGGGTTATCTGTAATACCGGATGTGTGTTATCCATGATATTGGACATGGGTGACCTTGATAACGGATGTGTTATCCATGCCATTTGACATTGGTTACCGGTGATATCGGTTGTGTGCTATCCATGATCTTGGACATGGGTTACCTGTGATATCGGATGTGTGTTATCCATGATCTTGGACATGGGTTACCTGTGATATCGGATGTGTGTTATCCATGATATTGGACGTGGGTTACCTGTGATACCGGATGTGTGTTATTCATGATATTGGACATGGGTTACCTGTGATATCGGATGTGTGTTATCCATGATATTGGACGTGGGTTACCTGTGATATCAGATGTGTGTTATCCATGATATTGGACGTGGGTTACCTGTGATATCGGATGTGTGTTATCCATGATATTGGACGTGGGTTACCTGTGATATCGGATGTGTGCTATCCATGAAATTGGACGGGGGCTACCTGTGATATCGGATGTGTGTTATCCATGATATTGGACATGGGTTACCGTAATACCGGATGTGTATTATCCATGATATTGGACATGGGTCACCTGTGATACCGGACGTGTGCTATCCATGATATTGGACGTGGGTTAACTGTGATATCGGACGTGGGCTACCTGTGATATCGGTGTGTTATCCATGATATTGGACATGGGTCACCTGATATAGGATGTGTGTTATCCATGATATTGGACGTGGGTTACCTGATACAGGATGTGTGTTATCCATGATATTGGACATGGGTTACCTGATACTGGATGGGTGCTATCCATGATATTGGACATGGGTTATCTGTAATACCGGATGTGTGTTATCCATGATATTGGACATGGGTTATCTGTAATACCGGATGTGTGTTATCCATGATATTGGACATGGGTTATCTGTAATACCGGATGTGTGTTATCCATGATATTGGACATGGGTGACCTTGATAATGGATGTGTGCTATCCATGATCTTGGACGTGGGTTACCAGTGATACCGGATGTGTGTTATCCATGATATTGGACATGGGTTACCTGTGATATCGGATGTGTGTTATCCATGATATTGGACATGGGTGACCTTGATAATGGATGTGTGCTATCCATGATCTTGGACGTGGGTTACTTGTGATACCGGATGTGTGTTATCCATGATATTGGCCGTGGGTTACCTGTGATACCGGATGTGTGTTATCCATGATATTGGACATGGGTTACCTGTGATACCGGATGTGTGTTATCCATGATATTGGACATGGGTTACCTGTGATATCGGATGTGTGTTATCCATGATATTGGACGTGGGTTACCTGTGATATCGGATGTGTTATCCCTGATATTGGACATGGGCTACCTGTGATATCGGATGTGTGTTATCCATGATATTGGACGTGGGTTACCTGTGATATCGGATGTGTTATCCCTGATATTGGACGTGGGCTACCTGTGATATCAGATGTGTGTTATCCATGATATTGGACGTGTGTTATCCATGATATTGGACATGGGTTACCTGATCCGGGATGTGGTATCCATGATATTTGACATGGGTTACCTGTGATACCGGATGTGTGCTATCCATGATGTTGGACATGAGTTACCTGGTCCCGGATGTGTTATCCCTGATATTGGACGTGGGCTACCTGTGATATCAGATGTGTGTTATCCATGATATTGGACATGGGTTACCTGGTCCCGGATGTGTTATCCATGATATTGGACATGGGTTACTGTGATACCGGATGTGTGCTATCCATGATATTAGACATGGGATGTCAAATGTCAAAGTTTGGTTATATGACAGACACAGCTGCTTAACATATTTCATGTGTATTTTGAAGCAGGGGTATTAGATTAAATGTTTTTTTATATATATGTGTTTGTTTAATAACGAATAGAAATTTTCATGTTTTTGTGTGCCAAAATGCTGACGATTAAAATAAATTCATGGAAACAAACATTCACATTCGAAGATCTATGAATGAGGTTTCTATCGGAGTACAATATGATACACTTAAAGTACACAAACCTGTACAAAGTAAAAAAGTGTAACTGCCTCATATTGTTGTATAATGGGACAGATGGTCAAGGTTTCAAATAAGAAAAACGCTTAAATATTGTTTCGCTGAAAAATGATGGCCCTTTTTCCCAGATGTATGAAGTCTAACACAACTTAAATGATTAAATCGTATAGCCATCAATGACACACATAAATTATTAAATCCTATAGCCATCAATGACACACATAAATGATTAAATTGTATAGCCATCAATGACACACATAAATGATTAAATTGTATAGCCATCAATGACACACATAAATGATTAAATTGTATTGCCATCAATGACTGACATAAATGATTAAATCCTATAGCCATCAATGATACACATAAATGATTAAATTGTATAGCCATCAATGACACACATAAATGATTAAATTGTATTGCCATCAATGACTCACATAAATTATTAAATCCTATAGCCATCAATGACACACATAAATGATTAAATTGTATAGCCATCAATGACTCACATAAATTATTAAATCCTAAAGCCATCAATGACACACATAAATGATTAAATTGTATAGCCATCAATGACACACATAAATGATTAAATTGTATAGCCATCAATGATACACATAAATGATTAAATTGTATTGCCATCAATGATACACATAAATGATTAAATTGTATAGCCATCAATGACACAAGTTATTAAACTGTATAGCCATCAATGACACACAGAAATGTTTAAATTGTACAGCCATCAATGACTCACTCTTCAAGATCTATGATCCCGGTAATTAATGCTTCCCTGTTGGTGATGAGACATTATTACCTGAAATTCTATTTGAAACTTAACGTAGTGGCCAGTGAACCAGAACACACGTTCTCAATGAAGGCTGTCCTGCCAAGCTCCTAGTCTTCACCATCTGGGTCCAGTCTTTTCATTATTATGAAAATCTTTCATTATGTCCACTATATCATTCTGGTTGAATAGTGTAAGTGTAAATGAGAATTGGTTGTAATTGATCGGAAACTGATACATCACAGTCGATGTGATAAAAGTATTGATTACTGTTGTAATGATTACTGTTGTGCGAAAGCTTTTGCTACATGCTTAATTTAGAATTGACACTATCACCAGAGACTATGAAGCAAGCGACGGTTTGCATACTGATATCCCTGTACATGAAATCATATAGTCAGTTCATGTAGACACAACCTAGTGATAATAACAAGTGAATACTTTATGCTGAGTGGTGATAAGAAGTGACTGTTCACTGCAGGTCTTACAGTGGAAACACAATCCCAGTTTGTTTGTTTGTTGTTTAACGCCGCACTCAGCAATATTCCAGCTATATGATGGCGGTCTGTAAATAATCGAGTCTGGACCAGACAATCCAGTGATTGACATCATGAGCGTTGATCCACGCAATTGGGATATAATGCATCAACCAAGTCAAAGAGCCTGACCACCCGATCCTAGGCCTGTTAGTCACCTCTTATGAAAAGCATAGTTGCTTTTTATGGCAAGCATGGATTGGTGAAGACCTATTCTACCCCATGTTCCCACTAGGATCACAAGCCATGACTTCAGTAACACACCTACAGTCTCAAATAATGAGTGTACTTTTCCAAAAAAATATGTAGCAGTTGCATTCTGACCTTCCCCATTCAGGTGTCACTGGATAATATCTATGATCAAGATCTATGATCCCATCATGGCTGCATAGTGGGGTGGATTTTAGCACCTGCACATGGAACATGAAGACATGCTCCCATATAGTTGAAGAAAGCCTAGAACTATTAAAACAATTGAATATTGGAGGGCGCTGATGGTGATCTGGTCAATAGTGTGAAAATAAGCCTACCTGAGAGTCAATATATTAATGTGATGATATGTATGAACTAAAAGTTGTGGATGATAACAGCAAGTCTGTGTTCATCTTTATTGCATTATAGTGAGTGAGTATGGTTTTACGCCGCTTTTAGCAATATTCCAGTAATATAAGGGCAGGGGACACCAGAAATGAGCTTCACACATTGTACCCATGTGGGGAATCGAACCCGGGTGATAAGCGCGACTGCTTTATCCACTAGGCTACCCAACTACCCCACTGCATTATACAGATATTACATATAAAATTGTAATGTTGGTTTTGTTTGTACCATTACTTGGAATCAACTTAAACTGACAAACGTGTACTTAATCAACATTAGAACTCCAACAAAGAGTCATTGTTTTATACATTTATTTATCATACAAATTATTGTTTGGTAATGCATGTCTAACAGTAAATGCATTGGTTTTGTCATAAAACTTGTCACTTGTCTGAAACATCTCTTTTGCCAGACATCTTTGAAAATAAACATACATACAAACAAATTCCAACCATGACAATTTACAACACTGCGCTTGTTCCCTCTTTCCCCTGCTACAGGCACAACAACAGGCTGGTAGGATGCAACTGTGTACCATCTCACATCAGCGTCAACCAGCAGCACACTCCCACTGACATACATTCCTCCACATACACACAGTTCAGAAAACCATCTTGAGGAAGAGAAACTTCACACCAGCATGATGCTGAAACACATCTTATGACCATCATTTAGCTAATCTGATTAACACACTTTCAGGTCTCTTCTGCTCTAAATAATTAGTAGTCTTTACCTTAAGTAAATAAACAATTGTATTCTGATATGATACATCATTAGTATTGGCAGAAATGTTGTCAAGGAGCAAATGAATGATCAGTTTGCCATAGCTATATCACAGTGGCCTGCAAAGTGAGTTTGGGCCAAACCAGTGGTTGATAGTGTGAGCATGAATCACATCTATTCAATGACACACTAACCAGTCTGGTCATGGCAGCAGTGTCTCTCTTAATGAGCATCCTTGGGCCATATACTCTAGCCACCCAATGCCTGCTACACAGATAAAGGAGTGATTATTCTAAGCTTTGAACACTGACATTGTGATTGTCGTCCCAGGGGTGCGCATGAAGTACTCCAAGTACCAGAACAAGCACCAATGCCAGTACAGCAGGGTTCTTCCCTTACCAATGTAACAGTTCCATGCATGTCCTGGCAAATCACATAGAGAGATCCTATAGCAAGCTGGTAGCACCGTCAATAATACACATTCACAACACTAGCTTTCACAGATATATGTTGGCAGTCTCTCTTTACATATATCTAAGGTACATCTGCATGGTCTGATGACCATATTCCAGGGAGGGCATATCATAAGAGTACAGGAGCTAAGAGCATATCAGTTCTGTTGCTTTCATCTACAAATGCTGCTGTTCCAAGAGCAGGTTTCTCATAACAAGAAACGTTCACTTCACATGATCTCCATAAAAACCTTCAGACATGGGCTGAAATGCTCTCACATCACATGGGAATGATATTTTACATCAAAAAAGAAATTAGATTTCTGAAAGACGATCTTTGTATAAACATACACCTTGATTAGTGCTTCATTCACAGGAATCCACATCCTCATTCTACCATACACACATCACACAAATACACTCACAAGCCCTTTGACTTTTGTTATAAAACTGTATACAATCAGAACACTGAAAACATCATTAAATTCAAAGAATTCATTATGGTACTGAATATCCTCTTCGTTCTTTACAGTGACGGTATTGCTTGATCTTGAACACCCTGCTACAACCCTGGGTCAACACTGTTGTCAAGGGTCTCATATCATTTGGGCTGCAGGACAACTGAAACACACTGTGCATATAGGCATCTTTGCAAAGCCACAAACACCAACACAAATGGCTCTTCAGATCCATGTGAATTAGCAATTTGGGGAAAAGAGATTGAACAATATACATGTAAGACACAACACTGATAATCATATGCCTCTTTGCACTTAGTACAAAAGTGATAAAGCTAATATTAGACAGTCCTTGAGCTAAATCAGCTGCACTTCTGTTTTTTGTTGAAGTTGGTAGTTGTAGGGCTTCGGTGTGCATCCTTGATATTCACACATATCAGCGTGGTTGACGTATCTGGATCTATTCATGAAGAAGCAGTTGTTTCCTCCAGCCTCCCAGTGATTCATGCAGGGAACTTCGTTCAGGCACTTCCCAATTATTGTATTGCCCTTGTTAGACATAGACATTATAAATACGATAAAGTTTGGTCTCACCAGATTGATCAAGAGTTTGTTCCATGACTATCCATGACTTCAAACATGGCAACCCAGTTCAGTCTGTCAAGAAAATTAATATTGGCACAAATTCACAGAGTTCACCTTGCCATCATCCATGTTTGCAACACAAGGTTACCTCCCTTTACCATCCTCTCCTCCCCTGAAGCCATCCAAATTCCATGACAGCGTTTGACATATCTATGCCAAGTGTGTGTGCGCTTCCAGCCTTTTCAATACAGGTTTTGAAGCCACTTGCACAATCTTGTAGCTAATACACTTAGATCCAATGATCAGACAAACCCAAATGCTTTTGTCTTGATGGCCATCAGGAGCTTGGCTCTGAGAATGACTTTGGTTGAGTAGAGGGGGATATATAGCCGGGAGATGCAGGTGTTGGCTGTGGGGAGATGGTCATCATCAGCAGGTCGGATGGTGATGCTGGGCATGGGCTGGAAGCCTTCCTCACTGGCCGGCAGGGCAGGGCTGGATGTCCAGAAGTAGACCAGGTCCTGCCGCTCTTGGTTGGTCATCTTCTCCACCACTGACCACAACCACCTCTTGAAACGCTGGACCCGTTCAGCACTTTCACCTAAACAGGATGGATACTGTTAGTTTGCCTTCATCTATTGCTTACCTTTATGTCTCATTTCACATGCAACATTGATAATGATATATGACAGAAGGCTGAAAAAATCATGACCAGACATACCAGTGATTGATTTAAGCAACATCCAACCCCATCGGGACACAATGACACACAATCAACAAAGTCACCAAGTCTGACCACCTGATCTCTTTAGTTGCCTCTTATAACCTGCATAGGTTGCTGGGGACCTATTCTAACCCCATAATCCCCATGGAAATTGTTATGAATTCACAACTTCCGACACAATATTTTTTTCTGAGCAGTGCCAGGATTAGAAATAAACTCAAAAGCTTTACTAGCCCGGGTAATGTTAAAACAATGGGCAAATTTGAAATTTGTATTTGCCCACAGGAATTTGTACTAACCCTGGGCTAGTGTTACGTTCTAACCCTGAACTGTGCACAATTCTACATGTTCACATCCATGTCTGTTTTTCCTGTGATGTGTTTGGTTTCAGAGAAAACTTCCAGTATTACAATTGATATTGAAGGAAGCAGTCCCTCAGAGCTTGGTCACTAGAGATGATGGGACATGAAAATATCCCAAATAATAGCAAACATCATTAGTCGTCTGTAAAATCTTCCTTCGTTAAAGTGAAGTAACTCACCACTCTCATCGTTAAAGCTGGTGTATCCGATGAGAGTTTGTACATCGATATCACCAACACCATTGAGGAGCAGCCGTAGATCTTCCGAAGTTAGACCTTCCAGTGAGTTCTGTGGTATCACATCAAACACGCCTGCTTTGATGTGCTAGGAAACATACAATGTACAGTTTAGTCACTCCGACATCTAACAGTAGCAATCCCTACTACCTGGTATGATGAAATAACTAGACAAGAACCACGCAGCTACAAGGAATTATGGATTACCTGTCCAGAGTGAAGGAATGTTTGACCCTTAGGTTTGGTGAGGGACAGCACTCATCCACGTGGCAACAGATAATCTGTAATTCTGAGTTTTGTGTAGGTTATATATTACTCATTGTCATTCAAAGAAAGAAAACAAAGAACAAGAGTCATCAGGAGATGACATATCCCCCCAGTCTGGTGTAATTCGAAAATGAACTTTGGCTACTTATACGCCACTTTTGGTTCATTGACATTGAATACCTTCCGTTCAGGGAGAAAAACAAGAGTCATTCCTATGCTTATCACTACATCAGCAGGCGGGATAAACATATATCTTAGCCTCAAATCAGTCTGTAAAATTCACCAATATAAAGAATCTTCAGTGTACAGTTCAAAGAAATAAAATTTCAAGATCAACATTCTATATATACACTTCCAGAGGAAGGAAAATGGCATCTACTACTTTCTGTACTACTCACCCGAAGACTTTTCTCGGCAACTTTGACCATTCTATACTCGGCATACTTGCGAACATAGTCATGGACATTCTGGGCGTTTACTTCAATGTCAGCACCTCCTGATATCAACTCCAGCTGTTCCCCGCCCTGATCACAACAGAATCATGTTAGGGTTTTCTCTTGCATTTTCTTAGATTGGATTATAGATTCTATAACAGCCAGGAGTGAAATAACACATGTTTGTTTGTTGTTTAACGCCGCACTCGGCAATATTCCAACTTTCTGAACCGGTCTCTAAATAATCTACTGATCACTTCACACACAATTTCCCTGAAATTAATGTGAACAATATTGAATAAAATTTTGAATAAATTCATTCCAGATATACAATGAGCACTTTTTATAACCACAGTGTAATAACATGATTAATTTGCGTACTTCAGTATGGGTTTGTTGACATGGTATTTTCGGTGTCGTGTGCTTATGGTTATGTCTTTGTATTGGGGGAAAACATCAACCCAAACTCTTCTACCCTGTGTAGTGGGCGACCCCCCTTGAAATCCCCCTAATTCTATGTACGAAAAATTTGCCTTATACACGGCAAAATACGGTCTGCCTCTTCCAACAATATTTCAATCATTTTAGGCAGTCCACCCAAAGTGAGGTAGGTTGTAATTTTTGAAGACTTTGAACGAAGGTCCTGGCCATAGAAGTGACAGACTGGCACATCCTGGCAGGGACTTAACACAGCTAAAAGCATCATCTTACTCTAAGTACCCTACACCCTGTAAAGTTTCTAAAATGGTAGATGCAAATAACTCTGACCTCTTCAGCACAGAGCTCCACACAGAAGTTCAGGTCAAGAGTTGTGAACATGAGCGAGGCGTCCTTGGTTTCTGAATCTTCCAGCAGTGTACGCAGGCTCTCGTAGATCTCTGGGTCAAAGAAGGCCAGGTCATGCCAGCCAATCTTCCGGCCTAGCACATACTTAAGGACATGGCGATTGAAAAATATGGGGCAGATCTCATTCTGTAGCAGGCACAGACCGATGACTCTGTTACAAAAAGTGATCAAATTGAAAATATACAGTGACTTTACAATATCTTTTTGGATGATTAAGAATTTTCTTATTTACATAGTGTTCTTTCTCAAGCAACATACAAGTTTGTTCATTGAGATTATGACTGAGAATTATGAAATGAATTCCAAACATTGATGCTACCAAAATGTTTCAAGTTGGGCTTACCCCACCTTGAACAGTATTTCAACCATATCAAGATGTGTCAGCGTAATGAGGGAAGGAAGCCTTTAGTGGTGCCTGTTGCAGAAGTTTACCATTTGGTGAAACCATCAGCATGGGTATGGTCCTGACATATCAAACAACATTTTTAGGGATAATCTTGGATTCAAACAAAATACTAGCATATCCTGGCACATCTAAAGGATGCAACTCTGACTTCCAGATAACTGCACCAAAGTGATGCATGAAGTAACGAAGGTCCACTTGCCTGCCAATATTCCTAAATGCGTTAAGCCTCTCTGGAGTGTTCTTTCCAGGTCGAGGTGAATAATAGCCATGTTTTCCAGGTTGCCATAGCAACGGGGCATTATCCTCCAAGTCTTCCTCTTCCTCTCCATCACTCCGGCGGTCTGATCCACTTCCACCTTTCTTTGTCTTGTCAGAGGACAAGTTGAAGATGTCCAGGTCCAGCAGCGTCTCAGCACTCATCTCCCTGTGCACCCCAAACTCATACTAACATCACTGGATACAAGCACAACCATGGAACACTTTAGTATATTCACAATTACCAAACTACACTGAGGCAATGTCTCAATTTCACAAAGTATCATTACGACAACTAGGTCTGGAATAGAGATGGACCATGGAGCTTAGTGACTCTCCCCGCAAATACTCCTTAATCAGTCAATTAACATTGTTTTTTATGAGTAACAAAGCTGTCCGGCTTTGGACTAGGGACTAAAGCCACAGACTAGATTCAGATTCTGATAGTTTCAACTTTCCATTTTAATCCTGTTATAGCACAGTGACTCACCTGCCATGTGACATTATGATGTCGACAGCTTCGTCAACACGTTGCCGCAGGGACTCCTCCGACGCCAACAGCAGCAACAGCTGTGCTGGGGACAGCTCCAGCAACATGCCAGTGATCTTGGCAGCCAGTGACTGCAGGGAAGAATGTCATCATATTCACTGCTTATTTAGGCTCTCCATAGTTACTATTGTTAGATGGACACTTGCACGATACAGTCCACATTCTTGTCAACAATTAATACATCAATTAATTTATAGTGAAAGATCAAACAGGTTCCAAAGAAGTTTTAAGACTCGACCAATCTGGCAACCCATCTCACTTTGGGCAGTGCAGGACACATACTCTGCCTGGAATCTATATTGGAGTCTCACCAAGTGAAAATGAACACTATGATAATCAACCATAGAATAGGACTTATGACAAGTGAAGCCCTAAGCTTGCTTTGTGGAACAACACTTCGAACCCTCCGAACTACATACTAAAAAAGTGATTTTCAGGTAATACTGTAACACTCCAACCTGAATTGAGCTGCTGTAGATGACCCCCTCCCCTCTGTGCCCCCGCTCACCATTAGAAGTGCCTATTACTCAGTAAGAGCCTTCCTTCAGCATCCTACTCACCGGTTGCAGCAACCTGACCTTGGGGTACAGCCTCTCCCCCAACTGCCTCCTGTACTGTGAGATGGTGTCTCCACCCTCTGCCGGGGGGTCACTGCTGCCAGCACTGCCGCTGCTTCCCCCACTGGCACTGGAGCTACCCCCTCCAGCACTGCTCCCCACCCCACTTGTGCTGCCACCACCTGACCCACTACTGGCAGCATCGGTGGGCATGTAGAAGGGCGGGGCATCGTATGACAAGGTTCTACGTGGTTCACGGTCTCTACTTCTCTGTCGCTGCATGGCCGACCTCTGTCGTTCTCTTTCACGCTCTCGGGATCTTAATCGTTGTATAAGATCTGGACAAACATCACATAAATCAGGTTATTCAAAGGTTTTGTTAAAAACAAAGTTTCAAAAACAATCACTGATTCTGTTCATTAACATTAAAAATCGGCACTAGTCACATAGTCCTTGCCTAACTGCCCAATAGACTAGTATAAATTTGACCTTTTTAAGGGTTTTGCTATATGTTATCATGACAAGGACTAGTGGACTAAAGCTGTTAGTTTCTATCGCTGATTAAGTGCCCTACTATACCATGAATGAATTTCAGATATATCTATCAATAAAACAACAAAGTTTTACTCACTGTATTGGAAGCTCTTCCCTCCTCCAACAAGGATCCCATCCAAGGCAGGCAGCTTCTCCTGGGACAACACGGCCTGGAACATACAGTACCATCACCAGGTCACAAGCAGCCCCCTGGGAGCATCTCACTTCTATATACAGCACTTCTTCACTTTAGATCATACAGTTTCTATGCTGGCACAGTCCACCAGGTCACACTTTTTTGATTCTATGGTTTTCAAATATTTTGCCAATTACCTTTGCTTAGGCAAATATTCTCAAAATTTAATTTGGTATTAAATCAGTTGCCAATCCTTTTCAACATGTTTATAATGTTTTACTCTTTATATAAGATGTTTGACATGTCCATGGACAATATACAATGCATTTCAACAGGTACTTTTTAATTCATCAACCGTAAGCTTCTTAGATTTTTTAATAAATATAAATTCAAACAATTGTCATTTCTTTCTGATTATGGCGTTGGTCACCATTAAAAATGTTTCCCCAGGATGAGTCCTCTTCCATGTAATCTATTTCCACTTTGCTATACATCGGTCTCCCTTCTCAAACTGTGAGAAGACAGACATATATATATGTATTTCACCTCATCATAACACAGGTGTGTTCACTCACATGGGCTATTGCTGTATAGAAGCTCCTGGCAACCCCTGACCCTTCACCGGGCTCATCCTTGAATGTGACCTTGACCCTGTGAACAGCCAAGGGCGGCCCAGTGGTGCTGGTACGCCGGTTGAAGTGAGTATTCAGCTGTTTGAAAGTGGTCTGTAGCAAGGAGTTCCTGTCTCGCTCAACCTAGTCAAATGAAACAAGAGTCATCAGAAGATGACAAATCTCCCCGGCTCCAACAAATTCGTAAGAACAAATCATCTGACTGTTACTTGAAGTCCAACTTGATGAGAGAATTTCTATGAAAAATGTCTGTCTGTATACACAAAAGTAGTTATTGAGCTATCAAAACAATACAATGAAATTGGGATTCAGAATTTTGTATTTCTATGTCACACACCACTATGAACAGTCAAAATCAAACTTGTTGCCATGGAAACAGAAAAAATATAAATTCTAAAATTCCCTAAACAGCAAAAGGCACCAGTAGACAACCTGGTATTTGTGTGTGTAAAGTGTCAAGAGAGAGCACCAATTAGTTTTAGAGATATGGTCTGGACAAACACACCACTATTAACAGAGTCAAAGTCAAACTTGTTGCCATGGAAACAGGATATATATATTTTTTTAAATTCCTAAAAGTGGCAAAAGGCACCACTTCAGCCCCTGATTAACACATGTACCAAGTTTGGATGAAAAATGTTGAATAGTTTTTGAGTTCTGCTCCGGAAATCACACCAACCTCCGTTTCAGCAAAGTCTAAACTTGCTATACTTACATCTAGGGTAAGATCTCTTTGCTGGGAGTTCCTTAGTTTCTCCATCTCACGACGGAAGCGGCTCTCCTTCACGGGGAAGCCACCGAGCTCACTGATCACAGACCCCACCTCGGCCCCAACATCCTCACAGAACACACGACCAAACAGATCTAAAGTCAGTCGCCATCGCCCCAACAACACATCATGTGACACCTGCTGTCCAATCACACTTTGTTGTCTGAAATAAACCAAAAATAACTTTGTACTTGTGCTTTTTCTTAGCCACGTAAAATCATTAGACTTTATCAGTGATTAAGAACATGTACATATTTAAGGCAGGAATCACTGTAGTAACTTCAGAGTTACATAACTATGTATTGAGAACTATGTCTGATAACAAACTTCTGTTACCTGGCTCTGAGTGACATGGACGCTGATGTTGATGAAGTCTCAATGTCGACAGTGTTGGATACATTCTCATTGGCCCCAACCAGATCCACCGGGCTCTCCACAGGCGGTGCTGGGTCAGCACTGAGGAACATAATGAAGATTGTACTCCAACAATACATCCACCTGTCATTAATACTGCTATCATCTTACAGTCATAAGAAGATCAACACTTGAAAGTCACCCATCACTCTATGAAAGAGTAAACTTTGATTAATGATTTCCTGGTTAATACCCCCTAAATTTCAGAAGCCAGTAAAGAGCAGACAGAACTATTCAAATAACCATAAGTATGATTACTGCAGTTTGTATGTGGCTAAGTAGGGATGTAACTGTTCTCCGAATATTGTTGAATGGTGATATGAAGTGCCACTTTACATGTATCGTGAAGACATATACCAATACAACCTGATACATGTATATATAAGGAGTGAGTATGGTTTAATGCCACTTCCCCAATGATCCAGCTACATCACAGTTGTGGATGCCAAGAAGGGCGTCACACATGTGGGCAATCACAACCACACTCACACGAGTCGACACTTCAACCACTAGGTTACCCCACTCCCTCATAATATAATAAGGAGTTGATACAATAATATGGATGGTATGAAGAGTACTTGATGCAGTTTGTGTTGAAAACATAAACTTCCTGATTGCCTTTGTGGCAAGGAATTTAGGCTCTCATCATAAATAATTTATACAATATTTTCTTCTTTAATCTTTTCAACAAACAGCACTGACAGACATTGACATGCATAACAGGACTAAGACGCCACCAGTGACACAAGATAATTCTCTTTGCATTTAAGAGATTCTTTGATTGCTTTGACTGCTACCTATGACCCCCTTTACAAGAGATGATAGGTGACCAGTGACACAAGATGATTCTCTTTGCATTTAAGAGATCCTTTGATTGCTTTGACCGCTACCTATGACCCCCTTTACAACAGATGAGGGGTCAAGATGATCCCAAGATCTGGAGACTAGGGTAGACTGCAGCCCAAGCACAAAACTATCAAATCTGTAAATTTACTGAGGACAACTCCATCTTGACTCACCTGAACGAAGGCAGTGTAGAGGGTTCTGCGGTTGAACTGGAGGCAACATCCATGGGCACAGGCATCATATCCTGACTCTGTTCATCCGACATGGATCCCGCTGGAGGGGGAGGCGGCAACACCTGTGTCGATCCCGCATGTACAATCACACTCGCTTGCTGCAGGTCAGACCTCATCAGGCTCACATTGGGACTGAGAGGAGCTGGGGAGGAAGTCTCCATCGATGACACTGGTGGCATTTCCGTGGTCAAGGTAGAGGAGGTTGAAGGTATGCTGGGAATGTTAGGTCGTACAATGACCCCAGTGCTGATGGGAGCGTCTGAAGGTGCTTGTGCTGGTGTGTCGGTCCGAGTGTCAGCAGTTGGACTGCTGCCACTGACCGGAGGCTGAGCAGTCTGGGTGGCAATGGAACATGTATTGGCCGAGCTGTCATCCATGGGACTAGAGAGGGAAAGATGGATTGGCAACTTCTCAAATCTGTTTGCTGTACTTGTGGAGCTTGCGTTGGCATCTACTGTGTGTTTTGGCTGTAATATTGTTGGTCTTGCCATACCAAATAAATCTTCACGACGAGAATTTGGCTGAAGTAGATGTGGCTGATCTGCCAGAGGAAGAGCCTGAATGAGGGGTGTTTTGAACGGATCTGGAGGGGGACATCCGAGGAATATAGTGGAGTCCGAGCGTTGGAAAAACGGATGCTTCCGACCTAGTTTAGAAGTGGTGTCACTGTCACCATCACAGCTCTCAGAGTCCATGGCAATGTTGCTGTTGGAGATATCGTCATCATGGTCATCATTTTCTGTTTCCTCATGGTCCTGCCATGAGTTCACAGAGATGCCGTCCTTTCCTCCATCCAGGTCAGACTCGGGACCTGACCTCATGTAGTAGATCAGAGCATCAAAAACATATGCCACATGCTTGAGTGCTGACATGTCCATGACCGGCAGGTTATCAAGATGCTCATCGCTATGGGAACGCATCAGAGATAGGGCATAGTTGAGAAAGTCCCTTCTGGCAGAGTTTCCATCAGTGCCAGCTGAAACGGAACCACACTCACTCCATTAGATACATAACCCTAAAAAATGTCATCAATAAGAGAATGTATATTGTTTTATGGCATGTACAGCAATATTTCAGTTATATCATGTCAGTCTGTAAATACTTAAGTCTGACCTTACACACAAGGGCCCTGATCCACGTAGTTTTCGATGCTCAAGAAGAAACTCCACAGTTTGACATAGACAGATGCTACAAATCTTTGTGGATCGGCTCCCTTGGGTGGATAGCACAAACAACAATCACTGCCACAAGCGTTTGATGACTGGAAACCATGACCTTCATTCAAATAGATCTAATTTTGGGGTTTGGGGTACTTATTCTACCCTGAGTACTCACAGAAAGGATGTCATCAGGTGGCTAAGAGAGACTTAATGGTAGAACTGGATCAAACAAACCAGTTACCAACAGTATGAGCACAGAACTTTTGTGGCATCTCAGATGGTCTGTTTCACCAGTAACATCTCTCAACAGATTTGACATAATCTTTGTCACTGGGTACTAGGTGTCAGTTTTACTCCAGAATCTCAGCCAATCCTCAAATAAAAAACATGGTGATATTTAAGCCTTCAAGATCAATTTCATTGGCCATGGGGAATGTTGGTCAAAGTATGTTCATAACAACTCTGTCATTCATAAGAGGCACCTTCATGGATCGGGTGGTAAAGCATGGTGACTTGGTTGATTGTCGCTCATAATATCAAGCACTAGATTGTCAGGTCAAGATTATTTACAGACTGCCATCATAAAGCCGGAATATTTCTGAAATCTAAAGCTAACATTGGAGGAACTATTCTCTACATAAAACAGCTAGAAACTATAGAATCTCACCAATGACCCCGAATCTAGTCCTCCTGCGTGTGTCGATGGTCTGGATCGTGCGCTGCTCATCTCGGTTAGGCCTCTCCCTGGTGTTCCTCATGTAGTTGGAGTAGTTGGGGTGGGTGGGCATGGCGGGGTCGGTGTTGTTGCTGAGGGCACTGCCGAAGCGCAGCTGTGCCTCCGTGGAGTCCATGACGGAGATGAGCCAGTCCCAGGTAAGCTTGAGGTGGCGCTCCAGGTAGGACTGCAAGGACAGCACTGGATTGTAACTGACAGGATCATGCATGGAACAACATCCCAGGTCAGGACTAACTGTATGACCGACTACCAGTATGTGAATGTTTTCTAACACACCTCTAGTTCCTTACTTAATGATTATGTTAGCTTTAAGGGCAGTCTGCACAAAAAATAGTTTGAGTCTACTCGCCCAAGTGTGTCATTTGGCACCATTTGTATTAGCTTGCAACATTAAAACATGGAGTATTATGAGCTGAGCTTACTAGACAGAAGAAATTTGACTAGGCCAAGGCTAGTGGCTAAAGTCACAACCTACTTGGGAAAATTGATCATATAAGGTCTACACACTAAAATAACACAATGTCTTCCTATAAGTACTATTATTGTACTGTCTGAGTTATGAAGTCATTTTACTCATCTCCATTTTATTTGTCAGGCACAAATTCCCCAAGCAATCTTTCATTTGGAAGCTAAAAAAATGAATACACACTGTCAACACATATCTATGACCAGCTGTAAGGTGCCTTTACCTGCAAATCTGCTGCGTCCTGCTCCGTCACATTGAGAACACAGGGCAGGGGTGCTGTAGCAGCGTATGTGGGCAGAGTGTTCAGCATGTCAGTTATCTGACGAATGATAATACCAAATGCTCGTGCTAACTGTCCCACTGTAGTTGCCATGGTAACAGCATTATCCTGGTTTGTTGGTGTTGCTGTAGTAACAGTAGTGGTGCGACGAAGTGTGGAGGGGTCAATGTAAATCAAACCACTGCCACCTGTAGGAAACAAACACATATAAATAGGTGTAGTAGCTAGGCTCTTGTTGAGTAACAAATTCCTTTCCCTAAATTGCAAGTTTCTGAAAAATTCTGTATTTGACGTAATAAGCGCCTTGCTCTCATAAGCGCCCACGGTGATATTTGCTAATATAATGCCTAGTGAACAATCCCAATAAGCACACCCCTTCCGATTGATCAATGTACACAAGACATATTTATACGTATAAAAATATGCACTCATGTGTTATATGCACCCTTAATTATGGGCAATTTAATTCTGGAAAATATATCTGTCGTGTATAATATGCACAGACTTTTCTTTTGTATAACTTCAGGCTGTCACCATAAACTATGAAATTTACAATCTTTCAACTCTGTTTTTTTTTTCTTCACCAAAATAATATTCTAATAAGAGCCCCCTATTTCTAATTTTTAGAGCGCCCTGGGCGCTTATTATGTCGAATACGCTAAACCATTTTTTTAAATTAAAAAAAATAATAAATTGGATTTATTATTATTTATTTTAAATGAATATTTTAAACTACTGATATTATCATGGTTTTTATCTGTGAGTGAGGTGGGCTACAATTTGCTATGTACATTACTTCAGTTATATACCACTCAAAAGAAGCTAAGGACCATCCAATTCTTTCATATTATTATAGTAAATCTGTTGTGGCATGACATATATACTCAATTCATTGATATTACAATAGTTAATCTGGCTAGACGTGGTCCTTAACCATTTTTGAGTAGTGTATCAAAACATGTCACCTTTATACAGGGAGAAATCCACAAAAGTGACGGCTGTCATTTGCAAAACCCACGAGAAGATGCATGATGCTGACAGAGCAGTATCATAATTGGGACAAACCTCACAAGACTTGGCATGTAAGGCAAAACAAGTATCACATCAAACGGTGGTGCCATAGCAACAGGGCACCCATGTCCCCTTCTCCTGGAGTGATTGGGGGATTCACAATGGCAATACATTTAACTGCATGAAGTTCCTGTATGTAGGTGTCCTACCTGAGAAGTTATCTACGGAGCTGGCTCCCACCCTCCTCGTTGTCCTGCTGGTGGAGGAGGGGATGGATGACTGAGTGAGGGATACAGCTGACCGCTGGATCAGGCGCTCTCCTTCTAGTGGGAAAATACACTTGTGTAGGCATTTTTGTAAGGGTCATCATACATAGAGAATAATACACTCATTCTCGTTAGATGCCATTTTTACGAAACGAGTGGACTTTCTATCAGATAACATAGAAAGTTCATGAGTTACGTAAAAATGGTATCTAATGAGAATGAGTGTGGTATCTTATTTATTACCCACGTTAAATATGTATGTAAGTGTAAATACATAACAACTTTTGTTCGTTGACAGACCAAACTGAAACCGGTTGCAAAATCTGGTTGCGCATGAATATTGATATATGCCCAAATATGGTCATTGTTTACATTCCTATGCATTCGCATTAACAACATAACAGCACCGAAGCTCAAGATCCTTTTCGAAGAATTTCTTCAACTTATGAGAATTCAAGCGCCATGTTTTTAGTACGCAGGACACCTATAAGAAAATTTGAAAAGTCACATTAGCGCCGCACTTTAATATCGGACCAACAGTCGGTCACTCGCACTGCCGGGGTCTGTGCATTCAAGATGGTTCGGTTTCCTTGATCTATCATTTGAATTTATATCATGTCCGTACCATTTTGGAAGAGGGAAATCAGAGTGTTCGCCAAAGACATTCATGTTTACTCTACCACCCTTTACTGAAGACGTGAAAATCAACACGCTAAGTCTGCTTGCATTCAGTGACAGCTTCGAACGAAGGGCAAGGTCACCACCGGAATAAGAAAAGACAACCGCGTTTTACACTAGAGATAGGGAATGTTATTGTATCGGAAATGTTCACTTTGAGTGATCTGGTTGTGCAGTTGTAAACAAACAACTCCCGAAACAGTGCCACAAAATACCCTACGAAGACGACACTGATGGCACAACCGGATCATCCCAAGTAAGTCTAGATATCTGTCCAGATAGATTAAACTGACTTCATTTCACCACGCTTATCCTTTTACGTTAAATCAAATTGGAAGTTGCGAAAGTAGTCGGGTGCGTCACGCTCATGTGGACCCTCGATCTATTGAACGGAAGTCGAACATTGTAAATGGATATAGCTCGATTATATAATGTTTGTGGAAGCTCAATGCATAACTTATATAGGATGCAAACAGAATTTGATGCGGGTGACTATCTTGTTTGGTTTAATAAAGTGTTAGTTAATATCCCTCGCTCACATGAGATTGCTTCAGTTCTGCCTTGTAGTTGCAAAATGAATGACGTCTCGCGATTTTTTATGAAAGAAAAAAGTAGTCCTGGTGTGACAGAGGTCACGGTTATCCAATCAAAATGAATAAAACAAGGTCAACCTTGTACGACACACGTGTGACGTACGGATTTAGTATCTTACCACCTGTATCTTCATCACATGGGTAATAATTTAATTTATTACTTGCCCGTGAAGAGATCACCCGTTTAATAAACATACAGCTGTATTACACATTGTGTAATACCAAAACGCGTGCTTATGTACTCTCGGAACACGTTTCTAGAACAAATATTGAAAGCTCTCAACATCCCTTGGCTTATTCAACGACATTGGCGTGTGGCGATGATAGATCACTGAGAGGAGCTTATGCACACTCGATGACCCCAGCAACCTTGTTGCTAGGTTGACGTCACATGGTATTGTTTCACCGTAGGATCTTGCAACAAAATTCCACAAATTACGTCATCGTTTATTGTGACGTGATTGTAAACTTTGAGGTGCAAGGCCCCGTTCCACAAGGCGATTGATTGTACGGTAGCGCAACGACAGTTGGTCTAAGTTAAAGTATATGAGTTGCGATAACCTTAACGCTACGATAATTTTGTGGAAGGGACGCCTGAATTCTAAAGGTGGACCGTTGGATGGTATTAAATTCATATGTTTCAACTTTTGACGTATTTGAAGTATTACTGTGTTAAACTCAGTTGGATTATGCCGTGGATCGTGTAGGTGTCAGCCTATTCACACTCAACAGTATAATTCTAAAAACGCTATTAATGGCCAGTAATAAATAAAATACTTAACTCGCTCCCGTGTAAAACCAATTTTATGAAACTCGTGAATAGTTGTGGTATCTGACTCGCTTTTGCTCGTCAGATACCAGAGTGAGTGAGTGAGTTAATATTTAACGTCACATCGGCAATATTGCAGCCATATCGTGGCCAGACAAAATTTGACTTTAATAATATATATGTAAAGTGTATAAAATTCTGTCGACGAAGGACAGTAAAACAACTAGACTATCACAGATATATGTTTAAAACTAGTATGGAACCATAAAAAAGATATCACAATAAATAACAATACAGTATAAAAACGGGGCTAGGGATCGCCAGCAATTAAAGGTAGGCCACCATACTAGGAACCGTGGGGATTTACAATACTTCTGCTACCTGCATGGTTCCCCAGCAGGATTTACATCATCCCTTAGCCGCTGGCGATTATCAAGTTTAGCCAAATTAAAACAAACAAGTATGCTACGACTAAAACGGTAGTAGGAACAAACTTACTTTGAATGAAGTGGTCTTACATACACTCTCGGGGGACAATAATTTTACAGTACTTTAACCCCCTTTGAGGATATAGCCACTTACAATCTCAGTTACAAGTTTAACACTACTGATACAGTAAAATATTAACTATGTACACATATTCAAAATTTATCTAACAGTTCAATTTCTTTTAAAAAGCTAATTATTAAATGAGACGAAACATTATTAAAAAGATCCATAATTGATGTTGCACTGAAATATTTATCCCTTGTGATAGAAAAATCAATACAGTCAAGCAGTACATGCTTGACTGTGATTTTTTCATCACAAGGGATACAGAATGGAGGATCCTCACTTTTCAATATATATTCATTAGTGTATCTTGAATGGCCAATACGACATCGTCGCATAATGACCTCATCAAATCTGGACTGACAACCCAAGTAGGTATAACCGATATTTGGTTTAATTTCATGTAATTTATTGATACCTACTTGGGTGTCCCACTTCTGTTGCATGAGATCTTTAATGTAACATCTAATTACAGGTTTAATATCACTGTATGGGATTTGAAGTGGTGTCACAGATTTGTTGAGCACTGCTTTTGCAGCTGCATCAGGTCAGATACCAGAACTATTCACTCGTTTCATAAAATTGGTATTACACGGGAGCTCGTTTAGTATTCTATATATAGCTTATGCAGCATTCAAGATATCTCAAAACACCTGGGTAGAGTCCCTGCTACACATAAGACCTTGATTCCACAAGGTGCAAGAATTCAATACACTGCATAGGACTCATGTCAGAAACAAAACAGTAAAGCCTGCCCAATGCCTAATGGCTAAAACTGACAAGCGGATCTGTAACAAAAGTAACAAGAGTCATCAGAAGATGACATAAGTAAATCTGTTCGGTATTTTCAAAATCTGAAATCTTCAAAAGGCACCAGTTCTCCACTAGACTGATCTATATAGCAAGTTTCAACAAGAAATATTTAACTTTTTTTTAGTTCTGCTCCAGAAACAGAAAGCAACTTGTTTTCATCATGAAAATTCATGAAAACAAAACAAAAGAAAAAAAATCCTAAATGATCAAAAGGCACCAGTTCTCAACTACACTGATCTATATAGAAAGTTTCAACAAGAAATAATTAATGGTTTTGGAAACGGAAGATGAATGGCTGACGTGCTGATCTCTATTTTTCAAACCAGGGGGGGTAACAAAATGGGTCTGGTCTAAGATAAAAATCTATACGTAATAAGCTCCAAGGTCAATCGTGAATCAAAACGAACTCCATACCAGTGCTGTTGGCTGTAGCTGTGGTTGTGGGTACCCTTGGGTTGAGACTTGGTTCACGTTGACGAATAGCCCACTGCATCGTCTGGGGGGGCTGCAGGGTGCGCTGCCCATGGGAACCTGTGGCAAAACAAGAAGGAATAGATGATGAGATCAAGACAAAGCAATTACATTATGGTAATCAGCCAGGTCATACATTGTTTGATCCTCATTTATGTCAGTCAGCAAGAACTTCATGATAATCTGCCATAAGATTGAGTGAGTGAGTGAGTGAGTGAGTGAGTGAGTGAGTGAGTGAGTGAGTGAGTGAGTGAGTTGGGTTTAACACCGCTTTTAACAGTATTCCAGTTATATCACGGCGTGTCAGCTTAATGTAGGAGGAAAGCCTGAAGTGATGCAGGTCTCAGATGTGAAACCCACGAGCACGGGTATGGTGCTGACAAACCCTTGAGCCATAATCGGGGCGAACTGGGATTCGAACCCACAATCATAGGTTTCTGGCGTGTCCAGGGTACGCAACTCTGCACAGCGAACTGTGGAGCCTTACACGACTGGGCCACAAAGGCCCCCATGGCCCTGAAGACGGCAATATCCATTCAAATGAATGGAGAAACACATGACCAATATCTTTAACTCACCAGGAGGATTTCGACGTTCCAACTGCTCATCAAGATAGACAAACTCATCAGTGTCATGCTCTTCACTCTCACCTCCCTCACTCTCATAGTCGTCCTCCTGATTGGAGGATTCTCCAGAGTCCTCTGAGAAGTGAGCTAGAGATCCTAGACCTGGAACACAGACAAGGTAGTGAGTGCATGTTGTTAACGCCAGAGTATGCAATTTTCCAGCCATATCATAGACGCCTGTAAGAAATCAGGCAAGCCAATGGTTGATAGACAGTGCAATAATCCATGCCATCGGTACCAACAACACACAATCAGGTAGGTCACAGTTTGTTACTATGAAATCCTCATTTTCGTAAATATGGCGTCCTAAACCAAAATTGTGCCAGAAAAGTGCTACATGCTCAATGACTGATAAACGTTTCCTCAAAGGTTTAGATGTATACTTCTTATACAGGATGAATACTTGTTCTGGCGTAAAATCTAAACATTCCTCTCACTATTTAGAGAATAGAGATACATCACTATAGTTTTCTCATTCTACTGACCATATGGGGTTGTTGTTTTTTAAAAAGTAAAAAAATAAAAATGGAAAGTGACAAAGTTTAGTTAAAAAAACAGGAAGAAATCGATTACATGAAACCACTTCAAGCAAGTCAGGTAACTTTGATTGTCTTATGAATCCATAAGCATATCGTTTCCACAAACCTGCATCAGATCCTGCAGTGGCTGCAGTGACAGCACTGCGCTGTACGCTGGCATTGTCCTGGTTGCTACGGCTACTGTCGCTGTCACTCTCAGACTCGGCCAGGAGATCCAGATCCATGTCACTCTCAGCCTGACCTGAGTAACAAAGCATTTCAAGTGACCATCTGCTACCCTGTAGCCATACTTAACTTAACCACAACAAAACATATCCCTTCACACCTCACAAAAGTGCTGGTTGTGTATCCTGTTCAATCACTAACATAACATAAAGGAGAACCTCTTGAAATACAATTGTTCAAGTAAATCTGTAAAGGTCCAAGGATAATAATCAGTGTGATGGTAATATGCATAGATTCGTTTGCAATACCAAGACTTTTTACAACTTGTGACTAAGGAGTGAGTGAGTGAGTGAGTTTAGTTTAACGCCGCTTTTAACAGTATTCCAGTTATATCGCGGCGTGTCAGTTTAATGTGGGAGGAAAGCCCAAAGTGATGGAGGTCTCAGACGTTTACCACTTTGGTGAAACCCACGAGCACGGGGATGGTGCCGACAAACCTAGAAACATAATTGGGGCGAACCAGGATTCGAACCCACAATCATAGGTTTCTGGCGTGCCCAAGGAACGCAACTTTGCACAGTGAATCGCGGCGCCTTAGACGACTGGGCCACCCATGCCGCCTTGTGGTTAAGGATGGATATTAGCATCACCTTATATTAATATGCGAAGCGAGCATTTTTCTTGGCACTGCCAACTGGCACCCTAGGATCAGATATCACTGACTCATGTTTTAGTCCTAGATGCATCATCTTTCTGCTGCATACCACCCACCTTCTTCCTGGTCCACTGGCTGCTGATCATGGTCGGAGTGTTCAGATTGCCTGTCCTCATGATCCGACTGGTCATCCTCCACCACTGCCATGTTGTCCACAATCTCAACCTGCACACATGACCAGGTCATACACATCTGTCAAACATGTTACTCAATCCACAATCTCAACCTGCACACATGACCAGGTCATACACATCTGTCAAACATGTTACTCAATCCACAATCTCAACCTGCACACCTGACCAGGTCATACACATCTGTCAAACATGTTACTCTATCCACAATCTCAACCTGCACACCTGACCAGGTCATACACATCTGTCAAACATGTTACTCAATCCACAATCTCAACCTGCACACCTGACCAGGTCATACACATCTGTCAAACATGTTACTCAATCCACAATCTCAACCTGCACACCTGACCAGGTCATACACATCTGTCAAACATGTTACTCAATCCACAATCTCAACCTGCACACATGACCAGGTCATACACATCTGTCAAACATGTTACTCTATCCACAATCTCAACCTGCACACATGACCAGGTCATACACATCTGTCAAACATGTTACTCAATTCACAACTGCAACATACACACACGACCACGTGAAACACATCTGTCAAATATGTTAATCAATTCACAATCCAAAACTACAGGCCTACAAGGCCAGACCATGGCAAGCTGCAAGTAATTAAATCTGGACTAGACAAATCAGTGGTCAACCTACTGGGGATATATTCTTGCCTGTGGTCATTATAGGTGGTATATCATTAGAGCGACAAACTGCAAACAACTGAACCAATTTTACATAAATCAATGAACCATGTGAGTCTAATAATTAAAAGGGGATGCATAACATAATCTGAAGTAAAACATTGGAGGATGAGATCTTACGGACTATGAGGATGGAGACAACAACTGTGGTGATGGTGGTGATGGTGATGATGATGATGGTGATGATGATTTGTCACACAACCACATACATATCGCCCTACCTCCTCCGCCTCAGCCGACACGATCTCATCCATGTCTTGTTCCCTTACCCGTCCTGTCTGATGACTTGGGGGCAGCGGTGACTGGGAACGCGGCAGGAATGGTATCGGCGGTGCCTCGGTGTCTGCAGACGATGGTCGCGGGGGCAGTGGGTCTACACTGAATAGCTCCTCACTTCCCTGAACACATAGCAAATTAGGTTCAGTATACTTCAGTGATGGAGTAATGTTAATGGAAATGCATGTCACAATTGCCTTGAACACATCTGATGTCATGTAATGTCTCTGAGAGAAAAACTAACGGTTTGATTTTATATCACACTTTATGAGTATTGAGTATTGTAAAGGAACATGAATAAGTGAGTTTGTTTTATGCCATTTAAGCAATATTCAAGCACTCTCACAGAATGGATACCAAAACTGGGAGTCCCTCATTGTGCTCATGTGGACAATCAAACCACCAAGCTAACTTAGCCCCAAATGGAACATGATTAATATTTTCAAATAAACCAATAAACTGTATGAAGAAAGAAGCTATGGCTCTTGCCAGTGATCCAGTCAACAAAGCTATGAGTCCTCCAGCACCACAGCACACCTGCTGTCACACCTACCTGTACTGCCTCCACATTGGCTGACACCAGGGAGAAGGGAGCGGTGGGTCGGGCCACTCCCATCCTTACAGGGGTGATCAGGGACTCTGCTATCTTACACAGCTCTTCAACACTGATGGTCACGAGGGCTTGGAATGCTCTCTTACACCGGGGGAGGGGCTGGCACGACGCTAGGCCTGGGCTGAATAACACAAGGTAATTGCTTTACATGCCACTTTATCAACGATTGACATACCAGAACTTTACGTATCAGAGAGTATGCTTTTACTGTACTTGAAGTAATGAAGCCCATGAGTGGTCTTTCCACTTGGAAACCAAATTTTAATTGTGATTAATAAACACTTTAAACATTAGTTAGGAATGTAAGTTCTTACATAATGAAGCCCCAAGACTGGCCACTTCACATTGTAGTATTTGTACCAATGTGGGAATGGAAACCAGATCTTCATTGTGAGAACTACTTTAACTGCTTATTTGTAATCAACACCAGAATGGAGAAAATCATATAAGGGTAATATTCCAGACATTAATGTTATCAATATGTTTAAAGTTTCGTTTGCATGTTTGTTTGTTGTTTAATGCTGCACTCAGCATTATTCCTGCCATATGACGGTGGTCTGTAAATGTTTAAAGTGACTGTGTTGGGAATAACAGAGATGTGGACAGTATTTCAGTTTAGCACTGCATGTCCGCTTAAGGCATTGAAGCTGGCAGATATTTACCACAATGATGAAACCAACAAATGTGGATATGATGCCGACAGACCATCCCAGTCATCAGACATGGCAACTGATAGATCACTCAACCTCTTGTGGCCCAAAGACCATGACTAGTATTGCCTGCTTAAGCCCTGTCCTAAGATACCATTACTGACAATGCAGTTTGCCCCTGGCCACTTCTCAATGATAATGTGGACCATACCTCCTCCTCTTGCTGGAGCCAGGGGTCATCTCGATGTTGAGGACGACAAAGACTCGTGCAACAGAGCGGATGAATCGCCTGGCAACTTGTTTAGCCTCCTCTTTGCGATTCGGTATTGTCTCATTCTGCATCTCCCTGATCAGTGTCGTCAATAGGGTGTCCAACATCTGTCATAAATACATGTCTCTATTAACACCATTTGGCAACCGTATAACTTGACACATGATAAAGGGACATTTAAAAATGGATTTCTGCTGATTGGAAAGTTACTTTGAGCATAATCAAAGTGGGAATGACTGACCTCAACACTGCACTTGACCAGCAGACAGTGGGTGAACTTGTCCAGTCTGGTGGTGCCACTCTGGCTCCCCAGATACATCTGGTCTTCATATACAGCATCTGGGCTGCTGTTGCTGCAGGAGAACATGGAACATCTGTATACAGCACCAAGTGATCAAAGGAGCATGACGGTTACACACAATGTTATTCTACCATAAGTCCACTAGGATCAGGATTTCTGCCACCAGATTTGATCCAATAAATCACGATTTTACAAGACCATCAATTTCTGTAGAACAACATTCTCTTTTCCCATTTGTATTAAGACTGACAAGAGAATTACATTTCAGCAATCATCTACTGAAAATTGTATCGACCATAAGTTGGAGTAATCAACATTAACATCATGTAGGCAACTAACCTTGCGCCCTGCTGTCTGTCCCCACTGAGAATCATGCCCCTGACCGCTGTCCAGTCATTGAGGATCCGCTCCAGTGCTCTGCGGCTGAACCGTGGCGGCTCCAGGTCATGCTCAGGCATGTCCACATCTGCAAGGAACAAGACTACCTCCTGTACTCCATGGAAACACCTATCCTTTGCAATGGGGGCTGTCTGCCACAATGCTTCATATGTCAACAAATTATCACTAGCTATGCATATCACATGATTGATTTTCAAATGTCATGAAAAGACTCTGATAGATGGTAAAGATTGTAATTCCTACCTAGATCTGACATGGGAGTTTTCCGGGATGTTGTGACCCGTGTCCGTGATGGCCGATGCTGACGCTGTTCCACCAGCTGCCTCCCAACTGTCTGTACCAGGAACAGCAGGATGTTCTCACCTCTGTAAAACATCAGAGACTTGTTACCCTGCTCATAGGGCACTCACTCTATACAAACTTAGTGATTCTTTGTCACATACAGTCGACTCATGTAAGTGTCAAATCTAGGGCCGCAGCTGAAAGTATCTACTTACCAAGATATGCACTTATCCAACAAGGGTGTTTCCAATTACTAATATCACCTTAACACACATCCATGAGTGAGTGAGTTTGGTTTAACGCCGCTTTTAACAGTATTCCAGTTATATCACGGTGTGTCAGCTTAATGTGGGAGGAAAGCCCAAAGTGATGGAGGTCTCAGACGTTTACCACTTCGGTGAAACCCACGAGCACGGGGATGGTGCTGACAAACCTAGAAACATAATCGGGGCGAACCAGGATTCGAACCCACAATCATAGGTTTCTGGCGTGCCCAAGGGACACAACTCTGCACAGCGAATTGCGGCACCTTAGACGACTGGGCCACCCGTGCCCCCCACACATCCATGAAGTCAAACTACAACACATCAATAATTTACTTAATCACTAGTGTGTTTGCATTAATCAATATTCTTGCTAGTTAAGCGATCAATCGATTCATGAGCTGTCTACAGCAACAAGTTGACATCTCTGCATGTTGTATTACCTGCTGTTGTTGAGAGTGACCAGATCTGTCTCTGTAAGGAGCCTGTTGAGGAGTGTGAGTCTGGCCCCCTGCTGTCCGGCAATCAGAGCCTTGCACTTGCACTTCTCCCAACAATCACAGTACGCTGTCGGGGACGTTTTCTTCAGTCTGGAACAGACAACAAATGTCAGCAATATCTTCACAGTGTTTCCCAAAACTACCATTTCATCAAAAAATAAATAATAATTTGAGTAAGTGTGTTAGTTTTTTTGTTTTGTTTTCATGACTGTTTGAATAGCATTTCAGTTATATCATGTTGTGTTCACTTAATGTGAGGGGAAAACACTAAGTCACACATGTCTTATTTACGACTTATCAAACCCATGAGCAGGCATGGCAAAAGGGATGGAAATTAACCTAGAACATCTACTAGCCTGAACAGTGATAACATAATTGGGTGAAGACACAATAAACAGTTGTCAGTGATCACAAAGAATCAAGCTGATGGTTCAGATTCATGCATTTTTCAATTGGACTTGGAATTATTTCACATTGGGACCAAACTGTACAAGCAAAATATTCTATTCTCATATTGAGTTCATTCACTCACTCACTCACTCAATCTACTCACTTGCAGTCATGTCCCTTATGGCAGACCCTGGCACACTCCGTGCAGCAACACAAGGTGCCCGTCAGTCCACACGTGCGGCACTCGAAGATGTCCTGGTTGATATGTTCCGCCCCGGTCCAGGTGAAGCTGCAGGTGTCGTTACAGCACACCACCTGTAGTGGGGAGTTGTCGAGGCTTGATCCCTGGGGGTAGATCATCTTCATAAGCAGAGTACGGTCCACCTCCGGCACATCCTCTGTAGCCTTCTTCTTGGCTGCATCCAGGAGAGTGAGGGCAGCAGGGTATGCCCTGCCTCGCACTGCCTGCATGAATGGGGTGCAGCCCTCTGCATTCCTGAAGTGCAAAAGGTACTCAAAGAGTTCTGACTATTTAGGGTCGTACTTACATTAACACTCGAGGGTAGTATTTAGAATGTACCTTCTGGTTGTGATTTTACAAAAAATATTTGTAAATTTTACAATAAATTATATATTTATAACACTTATCCCCTTTCACACAATGCATTCCTTCCTTTTTTCCAAGTTTTAGTTTTAGTTGAAGTTTCCAGCTTCTAAACAATTCACCCGAACACATCCAAGCATCACCAATGTTACCACCCAAACAAATGGGTCACACACTATAATCCCTTACATAACGACCTACACAATACGATCATGTGATTGCCTCTGCCACATCATTCTCTTTCACGAATCTAACAGGCTATTACAAAAAATTGCAAATGTTTAATCTTATAATATCTCACAATATCAGGTATTTTTCCCACAGTTGGACTTTGGGGCGCAGATACCATTGCCTGTAGTAGACTACAGGCATGAGACATACAGGAGGAAGCTGGGGCTGAACAATGAAATATAAAATCTATAACACAGCCTAGACAAAATACACCATAACAAGTGATATGATCCTCATACATAAGTCAGTCATAACAGCATGAATTTGGATAGATCATTGTTAAATGTCTTCATGTATGACATCGTTACACGAACGACCACGTAGCTGTAAAGAATAATTGATACAGCATGCAACTCATAATCAATCTGGAAGGGGTTTCCAGCCAATAGATTCTACAAGACTATCACCGCACTATCTCCCATGGTAGACATCTTTTTACACTTCATCAAAAGGTATCAAAACGGCTTGGGCAATTGATGCATGCTAAGACAAGGGGAGGAACAATCGACAATATCCACAAGACGATCTTACAAATTAATACCAGGCCGCACATGTATAAAGCAGAAGTGAGTTGGTTAAGGATTCTGGACACAGTCGAAATGACCTCGACTTGCGGCGCCTCCAATGTTGAAAACTGAAGTCCCTAGAGACTAGATCATCCACCCTCTCAGTCTGGGAACCCGATTAATAAAATATCTACATATCTACTATCTGTGCTGTTGTGCAGTTGGGGCTGCTGTTTCAGGACCAAGGGGCCGAATTGATGAAGACCCTGGACATCCTTAACAGAGATGTCCCGGAGGTTGGTTGGTTGATTGGTTTGTTGTTCTACGCCGCACTCAGAAATATTCCAGCTATATGACGGCGGTCTGTAAATAATCAAGTCTGGACCAGACAGTCCAGTGATTGATATCATGAGCATCGATCCATGCAATCTGGATTGACCCGGAGGTCGGATCTAGTGAGGATTGGACGTGAAAGGTGGAGGTAATCCAGCAAAAAGTGTTAGCCCATTGGATGGCTGAGTGAAGCCAAAAAGAGAAACTTTGTTGAGGCCGCCGTGGAAAGTGGAATGAAGAGTCTCTTCTGGAAGCGACCAAGTGGTCATGCAGCCTCAAGGTAGATCTGAAGCGCTTGAACCGGACATAAAGCGATATCCTCACAGTAAGCAGAGCTCAGGATAGACGCAGCGAATGGACGGTAAACAAACGATCTGGCTGGCCTGGAAGCTGATTTTTTACGATAAAATCCCATAGTTGTCCCAGAAGAACCTTTCCATTCTGTACTCTCAAACTGTTAACATCCGTAGCATGGATTTATCTAAATCAAGCATCAGTCGCATGGGCCTGGAGGAAAATGGTCTTCAAGGTGATCAACTCAAAGGTCTTGCCAGCAAACAGTTCATATTCTGCCGAAGTCAAATAGCGGAGGATAAGGAGGCAGCAAGATAAATAACCAAAGTAGACCCTTTAAGGTCCATCGAAATGATGGAGGTAATCAGCGGTCTGTTGCGGAGAAGCGGTTGTGGGTGTGGAGATGTCACAAGCGTGACAATAGGCTTCCTACGCTTTCCACTTGTGGTCGTAGATGGTAGAGGAATAGTGAGCTTCCATGATTGTCTTTGATCCTCTCATGGAATCACCTTTGGTGACAAAGTGACCTCTGTAGATGCGCCAAAGATGGAGGCTTTCGTGCGACAGGTGGAGCAGTTGGGAGTGAGGCTGAAGGAGAAGGTTGTTCCATGGTGTAAGTCAGTGGAACCTTCTTTCTGCGGGTTAGACCAACGTGGTGAACAAACTCCGAGTTGGCCAAAAAGGGCGCAACAGGGACGAGCTACAGGGATGGACTGTTATTGATTCGGAACAATAGGGACATTGTCAGTCAGAAAGCTTTCTGATACCCTGTCTTCGGCTACCAAGAGTGCGGGCAGGGCGGAATCCGAAGGGGACAGCCGGCTTGGATGTTTTCTTAGGCTTCTTGGCAGACGGTTGAGGCTTGCCCGAGTCTCCTGACTTGGAGCGCTGGTCTATCTCTCTCCTGTTACACTTGTGTGGATAGACATTAAAGGACTCTTCTGTGAGATGTGCGCATTCTGAGCTGTGATTGTCCAAACTACACAGGCCACAGCAATCACAACAATGTTGTTGGAAAAATTACAGCAACATTTCCGACGGGCAGTATGAACAGAACTGTCCTTGTTCATTTTCCCTCAGATCATGTACGCAGACTAGATGATGTTGAAGGGAATCCTGCAAAAAAACAACCCAACTAGATTCTCTCAGATCTCAGTGCATGTCTAAGAGGCGATGAGAACAAGAATGATGTGGCAAAGGCAATCACGCGATCATATCGTGTAGGTCGCTATGCATAGCATCATAGTGTGTGACCCATTTGTTTGGGGGGGGTTACTATGGTGATGCTGGGATGTGTTCGGGTGAATTGTTCTTTAGAATCTGGAAACTTTGTTCAAGCACATAGGATCGAAAAAAGAATGAAGAAATGCATAGTGTGAGATAGGACAAGTTTAAAAGTATATTAATACCTTATTTTGTAATTCTGGCCAATACAACCCACCAACTCAAAAGTGCTCTAAAATAAAGATGATACCATTCGAACAGCTCCGAATGTGATCCCTGTTGCACTGTCACATACTCAACCATTACCTACCTATGTTGCAGGAGCTCCACCAGGTGTGGCAGTAAAAGGGGACAGTCAGACAACATGCTCTACCACTGCTTACCTTGATGACAGGAGCTCCACCAGGTGTGGCAGTAAAAGGGGACAGTCACACAACATGCTCTACCACTGCTTACCTTGATGACAGGAGCTCCACCAGGTGTGGCAGTAAAAGGGGACAGTCACACAACATGCTCTACCACTGCTTACCTTGATGACAGGAGCTCCACCAGGTGTGGCAGTAAAAGGGGACAGTCAGACAACATGCTCTACCACTGCTTACCTTGATGACAGGAGCTCCACCAGGTGTGGCTGTAAAAGGGACAGTCACACAACATGCTCTACCACTGCTTACCTTGATGACAGGAGCTCCACCAGGTGTGGCAGTAAAAGGGGACAGTCACACAACATGCTCTACCACTGCTTACCTTGATGACAGGAGCTCCACCAGGTGTGGCAGTAAAAGGGGACAGTCAGACAACATGCTCTACCACTGCTTACCTTGATGACAGGAGCTCCACCAGGTGTGGCTGTAAAAGGGACAGTCACACAACATGCTCTACCACTGCTTACCTTGATGACAGGAGCTCCACCAGGTGTGGCAGTAAAAGGGGACAGTCACACAACATGCTCTACCACTGCTTACCTATGTGACAGGAGCTCCACCAGGTGTGGCAGTAAAAGGGGACAGTCACACAACATGCTCTACAGCTGCTTACCTTGATGACAGGAGCTCTACCAGGTGTGGCTGTAAAAGGGGAGAGTCACACAGTAGTTTCAGTATCTGGCCAGCATTGGTTCGCCTCTCCTTGTCCTCAAGACGGACTGGTGGGACGCTGACAGTACTGAACTCAGGCAGATGGAGGGAGTTCAGGCTTCCTGGCAGACTGCTTGAAGATTGGCGAGACAGGCTTGGTCTCTCAGCATCTGCAAATCATGACAATATAAGTGAGGTGGAATGGGGTTAACATCGCTTTGAAGATTATTGCACTTACATCGCAATGTGCATGCATGTGTGTTTGTGTGTGTGTGGCTGCTTGTACTGGTCTGGACTAATGAAGATTTTATAGTGCTAGCTAGGGCTGTGTATTGCCCCAAATTTCGTATTGCGATATATTGCGATACATTCCTCTGTATTGCAATACGTACTGCAATATATTGTGGAAGAAAACATATTGAGTTCTGTCCACTGTTTAAGATTCTTTTACCTCCACATTGAATCACAGTACAATCATACAAAGTTTAGCTTTATTCAAAGTAAAAAAAAGGGAAAAACCAGAACCATCAGACAAAACAGACAATTGTATATTGTGTCTGACTGGCTGTGCTATTCGACTCAAGAATAGCTGTTTAAGGCACCATAATGGTAAAGTCCAACATGCAGTAAATATTAGTGGTATCAATTCTCCAGACTCAGTGACATCATGGGTGCGTTTAGCTCATAGGTTCAGGAAGAAATGTTAGAGGTATTTATGTATAATATGGGTCCAGTGTTTGTGGTAACGTAAGTTTGTAATTGTTTATCAAAGAGCTGTTCGTGCAGTTTCATCACAATGACATCGCAGGTAAAAAGATGGACAATATTAGTTGTTTTAACTCTTTCAACACCAGTCAACCAGAAGCGTTTACTGCTGTGACACCCAGTAACCAGAGATTCCTGTGTGATAGATGAAACCAACATTTATCAAAGAAAATATCTGCTTGTAAAACATCTTTGCAACTCTATATTATACACCATTTGAAAGGTCTGATCCTATTGTTTATAAATATGAAAGTATTGTTTATCACATTATTTAAATAATGCATTTACAACTTAATTATGTTCAGTCACAACGTCCAGATTAAGGACCAAGGAAAGGAAATTTGACGATTTTCGGCAAATATACGATTTCATAAAATGCACTTACCTATTTCCTTTTTATTTTTATTGTTTACGTTATTGAAAAAGCTTTTGAAAAAGAATTATCAATAGTATCTGTCATCACCCATTTCCCGATAACAGCGCCTGTCCGCTCAGCAACATGAAGAAATACCACTGTTTTCGAGGCTTCGTATGAATAACACGTTCGTCGAAGACTGGCATATGACACATCGCTAGAAAGCTTATTCTTTCATCTTCACGCTCGTAACATCGCCTGGAGTTTTTCGTAGTTATAACAATCGATTTTATTGGATAAAAATTGGTTTCTAATGACGCTTTCGCGCCAAAATCTGCTACAAGGTTTGTGATTGGTCAAATTTGAGCACGTGATCTAAGGCAGTCAATCAAATTACAGTTGTGTTATGAATTTTAGATTTTGACGAAATCTTTTTGTTTATCCTGCCATTCTGAACATCTTAAGCAGGAAATCGCAATTTATATTAAAAATATGGTGCTTTGTTGATGTATCATGCTAGGTTACGAGCTGTGACAAAGTTTTTTCATGCATAATTTTGGCATTAAACATCGTGTCCGAGCCGAGAATTTAGGCGACGAAAGCCGATGTCATTTGATTTACATTACAAGCGATCGCACGAAAAGATGGAAATAATAACTTGGCAGTAAGTTTGACAACTTTTAGATATATTTTTGTTGATTGTATCTATAACTTTGTATACTATATTCAAAGCTTTGCTTGAAACGTCTTTATTTTGCTCTTTGACATGTTCGATGTGGACCCGTTTTCGAAGTGCGTGTCTGAGATTTTTATTTTAAATAACATTACGGGAAATAGTGAATAATTTCTTAATCTATTGATAAAAAATGATCAATTGAAATTGAATACGTATTTCAGACATTGTGAAATGTGATAGATTTAGTAAATGAAAGATATGACTGGTAGGTTTAAAAAATTATATACTATTTTGACGTGACTACGGCTTGGCCGGTAGGGCCTATACCGGCCTACGGTGTCTGGGAATGCTTCTTGGCCGGTATTACGGGCCTACGGTGTTGAATGAGTAATAATAATTAATCATAAGCAAGTTCAATTTGAAAACACAAAATCATTGTCAATATACCGGTACATCACAAACGTATCGCGATACGTAATTGTTTCATTTTCATATTGCGGTATACCGGTATACCGGTAATACCGTGCAGCCCTAGTGCTAGCCCACTGAGGTACTATGCCTCATGAATGCCACACTCAGACACGGTTTACTGACTCTACTGACCAGTCCCTGTTTTAGCCTTTTAATTTACTCAAGTTGACCTACATAAATACTTCAGGTTATCCAAGGTTCAACACAACCGAAACTGATAAATAAGGAATAAGACCACAGGGACCAAGCTTTTACTTCGAGACAAGTTTGACACAACAGTGTTTGACTGTATGTCAAAATTTTCAGTTCAATACTCTATATCAAATTGTTCTTACCAGAATGCAGGGAGTCATAGCTTGGGGGATCTGCTGGCCAGTTAAGGGTTGGTATTGCTATCCCAGAATCCTCCCTGTCAGGGTCCCGAGCTTCCAAGCCACTCACACCCCTTGCTGCTGAAGATGCCCGACGGATCAACTCACGAACACTCATACTGAAAAAGGCATTGTCAGGCATAACTAAACATACTTGTTTACTATCTATTATGAAATTCATGTTTGTAAACTCATTTTACATGTTCAGAAACTACAATGTCAAGGTTGTGCTGCTGTTGTTTGTTTGTTGTTTAACACCACACTCAACAATATTCCAGCTACATGACGGCTGTCTGTAAATAAATCAGTCTGGGCCAGACAATCCAGTGATTAGACATCATGGGCATCGATCTACGCAATCAGGATATGATGACATGCATCAACCAAGTCAGTGAGTCTGACCACCTGATTCCATCACTTCTTACAACAAGCATAGTCGCCTCTTACGGCAAGCATGGGATGCTGAAGACAGATTCTCTACCCACTTGCAGAAATCGATATTTGGTTTGTAACCATCTTGGCGACTGCCGTGCAGATTTTAATCGATTGCAGGATTTGCCATCGACAGATGTTTTCCAAACCTTTTCATGCTTTTAATCAAGGTGATTTGAGGTTCTTCGCAAGGTAAGACCGATTTTATTACAATAAAGATATTGATTATTGATCAGATCGTCTTGACTGGTCACTAGGGCTGTTACAATTCACTCGCGCATTCGGTGAATCGAACCGTAACCATTCATTAATTGAATTCGTTATTCATAGCCACTAGAATCGAATATTTATGAATATGCTATCATGTATATTTAGATACCCTGTAACTAAAAATATCCATAACAACATATTATATGCATAGATTTCTTTCAATGACAACACTCTAATAATATTTAATTTGATAGAATTGTTTTCACTGGTCATTGTCGCATTTGAGCAGATACTAGTACCTGGATACGTGCAGTATGTAAATGTATAATTTATTAATAATTAACAAACCATGTCAAATAAATTATGATGTTATTGTTTCACTGAATATAATAAATAATACATAAACTGCTGACTTGTTATTTTAATTGTGAATTGATATTCGTATTTGTTACCCTATATTCGTGATATGAATCGTATTCGCCTCATAGTGTATTCGTTGCAGCCCTACTGGTCACCGCCATTTTGTTTGAAGATAATGCAAGTAATATGAGAGGTGAAATCTGATTGTCCAAAGGAGGGACATAGAAGGGGCATAACTCGTAATGGCCACCTGTGGTGCTGCGATCAAGCTAAGAAATTCCAGGTTAGTTCGGCAAGGGTGGAAACTGGACTTTTACAGTCAGTTATCCCTTGCCTCGGGAAGAAGTCTTACTGGCAACACAAATTAACAATGAGTTAGTGAGTGAGTAGAGTTTTATGTGCTTTTTTTTAAATTGATAATTTATTTCTGAGTTACAGACAAGACCAGGCACCCAGAGTAATGCAGAAAGTAAGAAGGGATATAAAGACAATGTAAGGAAAACACAAGCAAAGATATTAGATGAGTTTCAGAACTTATTGTTATACATCAACGAAATAAGCAAACGTTCCACAAAATATCCTCACCTTCGACTGCCGGAGTCCCCTGACCGAGATTGTATAGAGGCCAGGGCGTCCACAGCGTTGCTTACAGCATTGATGGCCTCCAGGGTAGAACTGAAGCTATTGCCACCACCAGGGGGAGTATCTGTAGATAATATAAAATCCATGATAGTAGTTGAACATTGCAGTGAGCAACATTGCAGCAACATGATGGGGGCTTGTACATTAATAATCCAACTGATCCGTTAAGATGCTTAGCATAAAAACAAAGCTCTCTGTGGACATAGACTAACCCAAATTATCAAAAGATACTACTCAGGCTCTAAAACAAAACCTTAGGTAAGGGAGTTTATCTATATTTCAGTCATACCATGGGATTCCCTAGAGGGAAATCAAACACAGACAGTTGCTATTATGCTGCTAGAGTTCCCCTTTCTTACATGCGACTTACCTGAATCATAGTCTTTGTTGGATGTTGGCACACACATGGCAACAGTGGTGTGGAGGATATTACGACTTCCGTCACAGTGTTCACGAATAATTTCCTGGAGTTTCTGCTCCCGGCTCGTTGAATCTGAAGATCAGAATGAAATGTGTTACAACATAAACATCAACTTGCAATGAAGATGCTGTTTACTGCAACAATACTTACCATACTTCAGTAATCAACTAGCATAGAAAACAGACAACTGCATGACAACTGATTACCATGTCCATATTCCAAAGTGCCCAGTGTATTTTCCTGGCAATACTAGTGAATGAGTATGTGTTTACGCCGCTTTTAGCAATATTCCAGCAATATGACGGCAGAGGACACCAAATATGGGCTTCACACATTGTTCCCATATCGGGAATCAAAACCTGGGTTTTCGGCGTGATGCACTAACGCTTTAACCACTAGGCTACCTGACCGCCCCCCTACAATACTAACCCCCAAAAGAGGTTATAGTAGCTACTCACTAGCATCTTCTTCTACAGCAGCGAGGATAGTCTTCACCTGGTCCACGTCACAGCGCAGGATATGTGGCAATAGTGTCTGGTGCTGAAAGCAACAGTTCATATCAGCTACCCCATTGAAACACCTTAGTCATCACTAAACATTCAATCAGTTAAGTAAATTTGAATTGGCACATGCTTTGTAAATGTGATTTCAAAACTGGACCAGACAATCTTGTTATTGACATCATGAGCATCAATTTACACAATTGGGATACGATGACATGCATCAACCAAGTCAGCGAGTCTGACAACACGATCCCATTAGTCACCTCTTACGACAAGCATAGTCGCCTTATACAGCAAGCACGGGTTTCTGAAATCCTATTCTAACCCGGATCCTCATGGGTAGCGATTTTAGTAGTACCCAGTGCACATCATTACCATTAGAAATACTGCCCACATATTTTCACATAATAACATGCAGTGTGACGAGTAAACTACCGAAGCCGAAGGCACGCTGTTTTGAACACATTGATTTCTATATTTTTCCCTGTAATACTAATACTTGACTTTATCATTGTAATAACATAATTTTTAGACTAAAATTGTAATGATTACGGTGAAATCATTATGGTAGTGTTGTCACTATTGACTAATGATTTAAGACCAGATATAATGACTGTAGTTCAAAGCATGGTATCTTTACCAAAACCTCAGTCACAACTTACCCTTCAGCTAACCTTGCATTACCATGACAACAATAAAACATGTGTACATGATATCATAATTAAGAAGAACATATATGCATACCGTAACTAAGGATGCTTGATCAAACATTCTACACTGTGCGAGATGAAACAATCTGTTTACAAAGGGGGATAACTCTTGTAGCCCTTCTTGCATACCACTAACAATATAGTAACCTCACAACAGTAGGCACCTATGTTGTGGTAATGTAGAATTCTGAGTCCAGGTCAGGCAGACTCTTGGCTTAGAACAAGAGAAACATCCACCTTGTCTAACAGACCCTATCTGCAGTGTATCGAAGTGAAACAACAGTTAAAGTACCTGTACTGCTAATGCTATTATTGCTGCTCTATTCTTCATGTTGGCTCCAGTGTTACTGAGTGACTGTACTCTGACGTTCAGACACCGGACTGGAGGCAGATCCAGCCACATGGGGTCCCGGATACCTTCCAAGCAGTCCTTAGCCATAGGGTAGATGGCGCCATTTCCATCCTGTAGAGGTGACGGCACATCCTGCTGCAACAACATAATATGAACACAGATTAAAAAAACACCATAAACATATGTCCTGCCTTCATGCCATCTAAAAAGTAAAATGTGCATAAACTAGTTTCCACAAGTATCAGAAAAAGTTAGGTAATAATACATGTTTCATTCAGGGCTCATACATGCTTAGATTAATAGAGCGGTGAGTTAGCCATTTGCTAAAAGCATTTACTAGTCAAGTTAATTTCTTCATGAGTTCAATGTGTTAATGTGGCAAATTGCTGCAATACTGCATAAATTTAAAGTTTTAAAGTCAGGTACGACCATGGTATGTTGACATGTACATGAGAGATAGTAAGGATTAAAGGTGCGGTCCAGAATATTCCAATGACCAGTAAATTATCAAGTCTCATCCAGGTTAACCAGTGGTAGATAGCATAAGCAACAATCCAGGATGTCAAAGTAAGTCGACAAACAAACTGCCTGGTGATGTATTGTGATCAATGATCATTGCCTCAGTCAAGAATAAGGTACTAAGTAGCTATTCCGACCCTGAAGCCTATGGTGTTTGTACATAATGACAGGGACAAGCCATACCAGCTCTGACTACTTACACTGCCACTGTTGTGCAGCTTGATGTCCGATGTCCCCAGACCCAGGAAGGAGCTGGCATCTGTTGGGAAGAGACAGTTCTGCTCCACCTTGCCGGAGCTGAGATTGTACACCAAGTAGTTGAGGCGGGACCCGGACCGAGCTATCACATGGATACCTGCAATACACAGCACAATGGAAGCTTCAAGCAAGGAAAAGCCAAATGTTATAGAGAAATACTCTAATGCCGCTTTGAGTATATGAGTAATATCAAGTGTTGTCAGATTGATGTGTCTAGAAAGCACAAAGTGTTGCAGATCTTAATTTTTTACAACTCTTGTGAAACGTATGAGCATAGGTATGTGCTTACAAACATAGAAACATAATCAAGCGGATTCTACTCAATCTAGGATTCAAACCCATAACCTTGGTAGGCATAAAGGATGTAACTCTACACAGAAAATCTCCTTAGAAGCCTGGGTCCCTCTTGTATCCTGACAAACTTGTTAAATAATGGAATTCAGTGAACATACTTGTATGACACCATGGTAAGAATCAGATGAATAATGGTGTCTCAGATCTGTGACAGATCTTCCTAACTATGGTGGATCATCCTACTGCATGCCCACAAATGTAATGAATAATGAAGCTCAAATTTGTAAATAATCAAGTCTAGATCAGACAATCCAGTGATTAATATCATGAGCATCAATCCACGAAATTGGGATCGATGACATGCATCAAACCAAGTCAGCGAGTCTGACCACCCAATCCAGTTAGTCGCCTCTTACAACAAGCATAGTCCTTTTACATCAAGCATGGGTTGCTGAAGACCTATTCTACCACGGATCTTCATGGTCGGGTAAAATATGAATAAACCACAAATCCTGAAAAAAGAGTGATCATAACAGTGTCATAGCATCAACATACGTCATAACAGGGATGACGTCCTGCGAGTATGACATCATCATGGACATGACATCAGATGACAATCACGCAATCCGCTACAGATAAGAGTCCATCCCAATTCTTACATCTTTCAAATAAAATTTGTAAGACATTTTCTCACCATCACAGTCTACAGATACAGACAAGATGTGTGCATTCTCCACCACTGTAACTTTCTTGGGGGTCTTCTGGAAACAGTCTGGAATTCGTGGAGAACTGGAACCCTTCACCACCTGCAGCTCATCCTTACGCAGGAGACGACAGTCCTGTAGGAGGCTACTGACGTCCTCGCCCCCACCGCCACCTCCGCTGCAGCCACTGCGCCCGGGGAGGGGTGCAGACAGATCCCCGGCATCTTTCACCTGGAACTTCACTGCAGCATAGGCGCCATCCACCTGAAGATGCATCCAAGAGTAATAGGATACATATGCTGAGCCAGATAAGACTGTAGTCATCATGTTCAGCATAATTCATCAAACTTTTCATCAACTCACCATTGTTTTAATGCCCCGCCACCCCAAATAGGTTGTGATAAATTTTGGCAACCGTCCTCTTTCGCTGAGTCATTTTTTCATAACCCTTCCCCTGGTAGATGACCAGTCCCTTGCAAAAAGTTCTAATATAAGGTTGACATTATATGATTCACTAAGTCGACATTATATTAATGCTGTGGATTTCTTCTTTATTTAACTAGAACTTTCTGAAAATTTCAACTTTCCTCTGAAATATCCATTATTTTCCTGCCCCAACACTTAATTCATTGATTATGGCAACAGTGCATTAAAGATAATTTCTCAACATATTACAGGTATGTGATTGAAGCATGACAAAAAATATAGAACTTCAAAAGATTTTAGGCCCCTGATGTTTTTCACCAGGTATTGTCCTATCAAGTTAGTGAATAAAAACAGAAATAGAAAAAGCTGGAATTCCAACATAAGATGGAAATATCACAAGCCTGATATTGATGGGAAGGTAGAAGAAGGCCTGCACAGAGTGTCTCAAAGTGTAACTCTCATGACCTGCATGCACCCACCTTGAGAACCTTGCCGACCGGGACTGTCTTAATGTCCTCCACAAACACAACATTCTTCAGAGCCCAGCTCTCCTCCTCCTTCTTGTCCTCCTCGCGGGACGGGGTCGGAGCCTTCTTGCGCTCTGGAAGTAGGGGAGGCAAGGCTGATGAACCATAACATACATAACATCTAAGTCACTTAAGACCACAAAGAGGTGCCTCAGACAATTCGGGATGTTGTTGTTTCGAACAGGCATTTTATGGTGTGTCAGTTTTATGCGTGAGTGAAGTCAAAAGTGATGCAGGTCAGAGTCGTTCATTTCTTTGGTGAAACTTATGAGCACTGCTCTGGTGGTAGCAGACTAGGGATTCAAATCTGGGAATTGAAACAATAATGAGTGGCTCCGGGAAAGCACAGAAACAAACCTAGAAACATAATCGTGACAAACTGGGATCCGAACACACAATCATAGGTTTCTGGCATGCCCAAGGGATGCAACTCTGCACAGCAAATTACGCACCTTAAGACAACTGGGCCACCTGTGCCCAAACGTATATAAAGATCAAGCCTGAGACACAGTTATTTCTGCATTATGCTAAGTGAGGCATTTGTATTTTCTGCAACTGTGACATCTCTGTATTTGTGGTTAAGAATCACATAACAGTTTATCATAGCTATGAGCATGTCATTCACAAGTTGTCCTTGATGCATGAATATCAACTATATAATTTATTGGATGAGTATGGCAGGCAGCTGTGACTCACTGAGAGACATGGGTGTGGTGAGGGAGGCGCTGCTGTGCTCGCTGCCCACTGATGATGCAGGTGATGGAGGCGGCATCTCCAACTTACTGTCCGGGACTTTGATCTCTGGCCGGAAATCTGGTCTTGCTTCACTAAAACCAGAAGAAACCTCAATAAACACATGTCCTACTGAGCCACAGAGATCATACACATCTTATCTCCCTTCAGAAAATATAAACAAAGCTAACTGTATAAAGCAAATGAGTATTTATTGTAGTGCCCTGCCATCAACTCTTGCATGATGATTAAACCAACTCGCTTCCCACTCACTGAACCTGCACTCACCTGACTTGTGTTTTCAGTCTGAACCTGCAGGTGTCTGCCAGGGACCATGCAGACTCCAGCAGCACCCCCACCTTGGGGACACCATCAACCGTGGTGAAGGCCATGGCTCCAGCATGGTACATTGGGGCACTTCGCAGACATACCTACACATACAGATAAACTCGTCATGTTCATACAGGCAAAAGTTTCTTAGGTAATGATTTTCTAAAAGATTATGCATTTCTTTGTTAAATAGAAATTTGAATTGTTTTGTATATTTACATACTAATTCTATCTCACACTATGCATTTCTCCCTTCTTCCTCGATCCTGATAAGTAAACATCCTAGAACAAAGTTTCCATTTTAAAAAAACTCCCAAACTCAATACATCCCATTCATCACTATGGTCGCTACCTTAAACAATAGGTCATGCACAATTGAAATCCCGTGCTTCCCAACTCTGACAACCTAATATTCCCTGCACCCTCATTCTCTTTCTGGAGCTTGTGGAACTGTGATGACTGGGAGGGAGTTGAGCTTGTGAGTAATTGTAAAACTTTCAAAGTTTTAAACTTATCCTATCTCACACTATGGATGGTGGGGTGCAGGTATTAGGACTTCAACCATGAGATGTTCATGAGGAACCTGGTTCTAAACCATGATTGAATAAAAAATTATCAAAAGCTTAGAATAATTTGTAAAACAATTGTATACTGGATGCTTCACCCCTTTTGGCTACTGGGTCAAAGACAGCATGACTGCAGGTAAGTCATGAGTTAAGTGGTTTCGCATAGGACGTCAATCTTATGAATGACCGCGAAACTCTTGAAGTAGGTGAAGCCTATTCAGCCACGGTTTTAACCTCACCCCGAAAGTGAGAGGTATCCTTTACAGACACCCCCACCCAGAACAGCAGGTTTTACAAGATAGACCTCACACATACGATCGGATGGATGTAAGGTGGACCAGCTTGACAACTCTTTTTATGCTTTGCCAAAACTATCAACCACAGCCGCAGTGATTGAGTATACCAAGTATGGCCCGTATGGCTCTTCAACAAACAACTGAGACATCACGTGCACAAGACAGAGATGAGCAGGTAGAAAATTGGGACATCACTTATACAAATGGCTGCACCTTGCATGGAGACTTCAAAGACATAAGCCGAGGTATCAACAGACGAGTATGTATACCCTCTCTCCAGGAACTCGTCTGGGAACCCCGACGAAAAGGGTTAAACATAAACAATGAAATAGCTCCAGGTATTTATTGCTGTATGCATAAGATGTGTGTGACACAGGACTGCAGCACGTTGGTCTTGAAGGTAGTCGGACACCAACACCCGATCTGATCTCCAGAAGCATCACTGCATGGTGACAGATGAAGGGCAGTTGCTCTGTAACGCCATGGTCGAAGCAACTGTCCTCGTCACATGTGGGTTGGAAGCTACAGGAGGTGGTAATCCTGCAAAGTTATGAGCTCACAAAATAACAGAACGCATCCAAAAGGAGCCTGTGGGCAGAGATACTTCTGAATTTGCAGCTGTTGATGATGGGATAAATAAACGCTTACAGGAACGGTGCAAGGCTTCAGAAGCCTTGAAGTAGATTCTCAAGGCTCTGACAGGACACAGCAAGAGATCCACACTATCATCTGGTCCCAATATCGAGGAGAGCGGGATGGTAAACATACGGTCCAGGATGTCCAGGAAGTTGGTTATTAGCAATGAAGTCCCAACATAATCCCAAAAAGACTTTGCCATGGGTATGTCATTCAAACCAGATTCTGTTTACATCAAAGGTATGGATCTTACTGATGCAAACTGCTGTAGCCCGAGCAATGAGGAAGATCATTTTGAGCGTCACCTGCTCGAGGTCTTTTTCTTGCAAAGGTTCATATTCATATGCCTGTAGCTATGCAACAGTAGAGACCTTGGAACCCATAGTTGTGGCAACGACAGAAATAATAGCAGCCAATTAATAGGTAGCTAAAGTGGAACCTTTCAACTTCTTGTTAGAACGTAAATGTTTAAGGTATTCAGCAATTTGTTGAGGCGACGCAGTGGTCGGAGATGAGATATCTCGAGCTGAACAATAGCCTTCAAATGCTTTACATTTGTAGTCATACAGAGCTTTAGAAGAAGTGTGATGAGCCTCAGTGATAGTCCGAGCCACCTTCTGAGAATAACCCTAGGCAATGATAGATCTCTGGAGATGAAAAGCGTGGCCACAGAGGCAGACAGTGTTACCTTCGGTGTGCGACGTTTATGAGGACAATGAACCAACTTCTCACTTCCCTAAGATGAGAAGGTGGTCTGGGCGTGGCTACAAGGAAACGGCGATCCTTGGAAGCAGAACGGTTGCTAGAACCCTGACGATGGTATTCCTGTGGAGATTGACACTGAGGACGCACCGGGAAGTAACAGCAATCTGAAGATCCAACCCTTTATGATGATCCCCGACGAGAAAAAGATGAAAAACATGACTGTCTTGTTGATGACAATCTCTTGGGGAAGTGTAAGGACGATAATCCTGTCCACAGCCCTAGGTATAACGATCCGAGGATACATATTGATCAGTTGCACTGTAATATATATTAGACTTGAAGATCCCCATGACCATCCATATTGATCTGGAGACACCTGTCGATCCTTGGATCTGTGTCAAACTGTTGAGTGAGTGAGTGAGTGAGTGAGTGAGTGAGTGAGTGAGTGAGTGAGTTGGGTTTAACACCACTTTTAACACGATTAGGTGTTTCTAGGGCGCACAAGGGACACAACTCTGCACAGCAAATCACGGCGTCTTAGACGACTGGGCCCCCGCGTCACGTTGACCTCTAGGACGAAAACGATCAGCTGATGTATAACGATCCTTGAGTGATGGCGATCCATAGATTCTGGTCAATCTTAAAGACTGTGTCAATCTGTAGAATATTCAAGATCTATCAATGCAGATCGAATCCTGAGAATAATGACGATCTTTTTATTGGAGCCTGACGCCTAAGTGAATAATGTTAATCTGGTGAGTAAAGTCAATCTTCCAAATAGTGTTGAATCATCGATCTGTCGATCACTCAAATATTGGGGAAGACTGTTGATCCTCTGAATAATAACGATCAGTTGAGGCATGTTGAGCTGTCAAGCTCCTGAATGGTGTCAATCCATAGACGAATGTCAAACTATCAATCTGCCAATAGCTATTGATCTCCTGAAAGGTTTCAATAGGGTGAATCATGTGGATCTATCGATCCTCTGAAAGACAGTAATCTGTCGATAGTTGATGATGTCAATCCTTTGAATGGTGTTGATCTATCATTAGCTGTTGATCCCACGGGACATGTCGATTGTGACGATCGTCAAAAAGTAGTGTTGCCATCTGAAACCTGTAGGGTGTGGCGATCTCCAGAGTTGGAGAGGAGAGGCGACTCCTTGTTTAGATGAGCAGTGATGCATCCGTAGATTGCACAGACCTATCAATGACTGGCTAAACACAGGACGACTTTTGTCAGCGTTTGCTCAACCTTACATGCACATGCCGTTGTCAGGGCAGATCAGCCGTGAGAAACCAGTTGGAAAGGGCATCTTCCTCAATAGATAATGAAGTAATTGTTGCAGATTTTAAAGAAACAGATGACGAAAGTGGTACAGACACTGTGGAGAGCACTGTTCTCTTAGATTTCTTCGTCGACGATGGTCCATGTTCCAAATCTTTCCCCGTAGGCTTGAATCTCCGGTCTACTAACCTCTTCTGACACTTGCGAAGGTAAGTCTTGAAATCAGTCTCATTAAGATGACAACATTGTAGACATTTGTTGATAGAGCATGTAACTGCAACACACGTGTGGGTCTAATGGTGAAAATAATCGCTTGCATTCTTTGTACAAGGGGTGTGATGGCTCCATTGTTGATGTATAAAGTTGATGGCGGTTGTTTTACAGAGACAGATAAAATTTGCTTGCCCCCCCAAATAAATGTATTCTCTGTTCAAGAACGTCTTATCCACCAGGCGATAAAAAAGATAACGAGGGTGCAGGAAATGTCAGGTGATGAGATCACACAAGGGCAGGATGCACCGGATTGCAGTGGTTCGTTACCTATTGCTTATGGTAGCAACCATGGTGATGAATGGGATGTGTTGAAGTGAGGTGTTTTTTTTATGCTGGAAACTTAGTTCTGCACCAGCATTGAAGGAGTAGGGAGAAATGCATTGTGTGAGATGGAATAAATTTTATTTTATTTTATTAACAGAGGTGAAAAGGAAACCATATCTGGTGACATTTGAACAAAGATATACATTTTTGCCAAACATGATTGTGAAAACAATGTTCCTGTCACCAGTGAACACATGACAATTACTATGCAGTATTGTAGTGACCATGTCTATTTTTAGCAACTGAATGAAATGAGGTCGTCTATAAGTCATATAACCTACCACATGCATGGACATTCTGCTAACCCTACCACGTCCTGACCATGTGGCAATGTGGAGAACAGAGGAGTGCAAGGCTATGCCACATGCAGAAACACTCAATCCCACTGGCACCTGCTCTTTGTTTGATTCATTAGTTAGAAACAGTGACAGCACAACTAATGTAAGTATTCACAGGTGATGGTGGAACATGAATTATACATCATGACCATGAATTATTGGTGATTATACAGCAATGAGATCATGGTTCATACAGATATGTGACACTTAACTTCAAGGCTTTTTTTTAGACTTTTCAAGTGTCATAATCAAGGCTGACTGACTGAAGATAAAAACCCAACTAAAAAGTTGGGTTTTTATCTTCAGTCAGTCAATATTTGTTTTAATCCAGCATACTGTATATTAGTCGTAACACCATACTATATATTAGTCGTAATACCTAAAATGCAATCAACATCACAAATTTTCAAACAAGATTGATTTTCACACCTAACAAATAAAATAAATTAAGTCTGTCAAGGAGTTGGTCAAATTGTCAAATCTATCACTGTCAGATAAATCACGCTTAAACATCTTTGGTACATAACTATTAGTTTTGTGTGTTTTAATACTTTTTATTAACAAATTTGTGTCATTTTGTACAAATTTTGTAGAATTTTCCTATTCGGAATATTCTATAAGTAATACGTTACCACTGTTATACCGAGGCTGTTGTCTCCCACAACTGCTGCTATAG